CTCTCTCCTCTCTCTCTCTCTCTCTCTCCTCTCCCTCTCTCTCTCTCTCTCTCTGCTGTGCGGTCAGGTCGTCCTGCAGCGCAGCTGAGATCATTAAAGGCCTCTATTTCAGGACGCTTTAACCTTCTAACCTTCCATCAGTCTCTTCCCTCACTCTGTCTTCACACTAACCTTCATTTCTCCGATCAGTATCCACTCGTGTAACTAACTTCTGACTTCCTGACTAAATTTTATTTGATAAATTCTTTGCTGCCTTTTCATAGATCTTAATCTGTCCTGCTCATGATTAAAGAAAAGAGCTACACAAAGGAACCGATCAGCTTAGCATCAAGAACAAGGCTGTAGTTATTTTTTTATTTTTTTTAAAGATTTATTTTGGGCTTTTTGTGCCTTTAATGCAGAGAGAGGACAGTGGATAGAGTCAGAAACCAGGGAGAGAGAGAGAGGACAGTGGATAGAGTCTGAAACCAGAGAGAGAGAGGACAGTGGATAGAGTCAGAAACCAGGGAGAGAGAGAGGACAGTGGATAGAGTCTGAAACCAGAGAGAGAGAGAGAGGACAGTGGATAGAGTCTGAAACCAGGGAGAGAGAGAGGACAGTGGATAGAGTCAGAAACCAGAGAGAGAGAGGACAGTGGATAGAGTCTGAAACCAGGAGAGAGAGAGAGGACAGTGGATAGAGTCAGAAACCAGAGAGAGAGAGAGAGGACAGTGGATAGAGTCAGAAACCAGGGAGAGAGAGGACAGTGGATAGAGTCAGAAACCAGAGAGAGAGAGAGGACAGTGGATAGAGTCAGAAACCAGAGAGAGAGGACAGTGGATAGAGTCAGAAACCAGAGAGAGAGAGAGAGGACAGTGGATAGAGTCTGAAACCAGGGAGAGAGAGAGAGGACAGTGGATAGAGTCAGAAACCAGGGAGAGAGAGAGAGGACAGTGGATAGAGTCTGAAACCAGGGAGAGAGAGAGGACAGTGGATAGAGTCAGAAACCAGAGAGAGAGAGGACAGTGGATAGAGTCAGAAACCAGAGAGAGAGAGGACAGTGGATAGAGTCAGAAACCAGAGAGAGAGAGGACAGTGGATAGAGTCAGAAACCAGAGAGAGAGAGGACAGTGGATAGAGTCAGAAACCAGAGAGAGAGGACAGTGGATAGAGTCTGAAACCAGAGAGAGAGAGAGGACAGTGGATAGAGTCAGAAACCAGAGAGAGAGAGGACAGTGGATAGAGTCTGAAACCAGGAGAGAGAGAGGACAGTGGATAGAGTCAGAAACCAGAGAGAGAGAGAGGACAGTGGATAGAGTCAGAAACCAGAGAGAGAGAGAGAGAGGACAGTGGATAGAGTCAGAAACCAGAGAGAGAGAGGACAGTGGATAGAGTCAGAAACCAGAGAGAGAGAGAGAGGACAGTGGATAGAGTCAGAAACCAGAGAGAGAGAGGACAGTGGATAGAGTCAGAAACCAGGGAGAGAGAGGACAGTGGATAGAGTCAGAAACCAGGGAGAGAGAGGACAGTGGATAGAGTCAGAAACCAGAGAGAGAGAGGACAGTGGATAGAGTCAGAAACCAGAGAGAGAGAGGACAGTGGATAGAGTCTGAAACCAGAGAGAGAGAGGACAGTGGATAGAGTCAGAAACCAGAGAGAGAGAGGACAGTGGATAGAGTCAGAAACCAGAGAGAGAGGACAGTGGATAGAGTCTGAAACCAGAGAGAGAGAGAGGACAGTGGATAGAGTCTGAAACCAGGGAGAGAGAGGACAGTGGATAGAGTCTGAAACCAGAGAGAGAGAGGACAGTGGATAGAGTCTGAAACCAGAGAGAGAGGGGACAGTGGATAGAGTCAGAAACCAGAGAGAGAGAGAGGACAGTGGATAGAGTCAGAAACCAGAGAGAGAGAGAGAGGACAGTGGATAGAGTCTGAAACCAGAGAGAGAGAGGACAGTGGATAGAGTCTGAAACCAGAGAGAGAGAGGACAGTGGATAGAGTCAGAAACCAGAGAGAGAGAGCGGGGAACGACATGTGGAAAGGGGCCACGGGTGGAAGTGAACCCGGGCCTACCGCTCGAGATGAGAGTCTCAATACATGGGACGCGCGCCCTAACCACTGGGCCACCAGAGCACCCCTAGTTATTTATTTATTAACTCCAACTTCCTTCGATCATTTCAACTGTCATCATTTATTCTCTCTTGTACACATAGAACAAAATAATGCATGTCGACAAGAAAGATTCAGGAGACTCAGAGGACTTAAAGGTCACAGAATCCACAAAATCCACATCACCATGTGCCCCTATTCTGTCTACAAACCTCCCAATGATGAGAAAAGTTCATCCTCTCCGTCTTCTGCCTGCTCCACTTTTCAGAAAATGTGTGCTCAAACAGGCCGTTTGGAGATTTTCCCTTCATGACATCACAAAGGGCAGTAGCCCCTCCCCCAGGTGGGTGACACTCCCACAGCTAGGTGTTTGTTCTGCCCCCTGAGTCTGCCTTCTCATCGTGGTCAGACTCAGCTCATTTACATATTTAAAATAGCTGAAATAGAGGGGTTTATAGACATGATCAAATATAGAACAAGAAACTTCACACACATATTTTGAGGAGCTCTGAGACTTATTTACACTGAAGAAGAGGAGGATATGTGACCTTTAAGGTTGAAGCTATTTATATTTGACTTGACAAAAGAGAGTGTGTGTATCTTTTCTTCCTTTAGAATATGATTAATTATCGGGGACTTTTATTGACACACACTGTTTTTTTAGAAGCTGAGCACCACAGTGTGTTTACATGAACGGGGGACTTTCCCTGTCCCACTGTTACCCGTCCTGAACCAGCTCTGACTTCACCCCCGTCTTTACATTTTCAGCATTCTCCACCTGCTATCCAAACCATTTTAAATAATTGATTGAAATCCCAGCATGCAGCAGGGTTACACGACCACAAACAAAGATGCTGAAAGTACTCTCCTCCCTGTCTCTCCCCTCAGCCCTCCCTGTTCCAGGCTCGCACCACCATGATGTTAAGCAGCGGCCGTTTCCGCTGCCCGTCCTGCCGAGAGGAGGTGGTGCTGGATCGCCACGGCGTCTTCGGCCTGCAGAGGAACCTACTGGTGGAGAACATCATCGACGTCTACAAACAAGAGGTCGCCAACTACAACAACAAGGCGGCAAGGTGAGGAGAGATGACAAGAAAAAATCATGATAACAAATTTAAAAAGATAGGAAACAGGAAAAGCGGTTTAGATAATGGATGTTTTATTACCTGCTGTCTCTGTGTCTCTGTGTCTCCAGCGCCCTCCCTCCTCCTCCCTCTCCTGCTCAGCCGACGTGTCCGGACCACGAGGGGGAGAAGGTGAACATCTACTGTCTCACCTGTAAGGTCCCCACCTGTTCTCTGTGCAAGGTGTTCGGGGCTCATCAGTCCTGTCAGGTGGCTCCTCTGAGCGACGTCTACCAGCTGCAGAAGGTAAAAATAAAAAAACTATTTTTATATTTGTGTTTGCAGAAACGTTCTTTTCAATTCTTATATTGTTGTTTTTTTGATATTCAGTTAACTTTTTCTTCTTTTTTTTTTAAATCCAGGAATGAGCTGAGTGAGGAGGTCAGCTCTCTGAAGGCGTACAACGACAAGTCCAGGCTGTGATCGACAACCTGGAGCAGACCTGCAGAAACATAGA